TAGAACACCAAGGGAACATAGACGTTAGGTGGAATGCACCTTGTGATGGTCTATGTTTGGTTCACATTATACTTGAAACTATAGCGTATGCGCATGCACCACATCCTACGAGTAACTTGATTACTCACCCTAGTGGTTTGGGTTATTTTTCAGGTAAAGAGACTATGCTCTTGGAGGCTCATCATCCTTAGAAGCTTTTAAGCTAAATGAAGCATTTTTGTATATTGACATGCAAGTGTTTAGCATGCCTTTCTTTTGATATCATATTTTGAATGCCATGGGTGTATGGTACTTTTGGAGATTTAGTAGCTTTCTTGATATGTAATGACACTCAAACATTTACTTTTGACATTATAAACATGTATGTAAAGAAGTCAAGGGCCAAACATGTATACTTTTGTACTTAGACACTTTTGGTATCAACCTTTGCATCAAAAGTGTATTTAAACCAAAGTTTGAGGTTTGACATATAAAAATCTTATAAATGATGTATATGAGGCCATGGGCCATTGTTTTATGTTTATTTATTCATATCAAAGTTGTTGACATGTTCACATTCTCAAAACTCATGAAAAATCAGTTTTACATATTCATTGTGAACCAAAACATCATGGGATTCAAAGTTGAGGTTGAACCTTAACACCTTAGACTCATAGCAACCTTTTTAGCAGCTTTTGGTGGTATTTCGGTCGACCAATGGCAAATGAAATTGCCAATGCACAGTATAATCACATTCCAGTAGCCAAATGCACTATTCATGAGTCATTTCGATCGACCGAACCCTTATTTCGGTCTACCGAAGCAACATGAATCTTTTCTTCATGATTTTAGGTCTCAGCACTTTCATTTTGGTCAACCAAAAGTCCATTTCGGTCGACCAAAATGGCTTGATCCCGAGCCTAGTCTCTGTGGAGTTCCAGTACTAATCATCCGACTTCAATGGGTCATAACTTCTTCGTTTCTAATACAAATGGGGTGATTCTTGGGGCTAAACTCAAGGATTTTGAGTCAGATTTTTAATGGTATCAATCCCATTCTCAAATTCCAAACATGGTGGGATTTATGTATATTTTAGTGAAGTAGTGTCAGTTTTCACTTCAACCGGGACGGGGCATTTTGTGGGATTCTTAGCCAATGTTCATGGAACCTCTTCGAATGTTTTAAAATGATTAGATTAGGTTTTATTAACCTTGTTTGACTTGTTTAGAGTCAAGTTTCTCCTTTTAACAGTGAATTGACCTTTTTGCCCCTTGGATAGCAAATTTTGTCATTTTTGACCTTTGTTTCCGTTTTTGTCCTCTTTAAGTTCCGTGACCTCATGGAGGGTCACATTTGTGTCTTAGGAGTGACTCCTATCTCTAGAGACCTTGATTTACCTTTAGCTTTCGCATTTCGGATCCGTGATTGAATCACTTTCGGTTCATCACGGACGCACCGGGTTGAAAAACTTGGGCCGTCACATAGTACTTAGATCGGGTTACATCAGCGCCCTAAGAGGGGAATTAGCTACTCATGATGACGCAGAATATCATCTGTGCTATTGTAGTCTTCATCATCACAGATGGTACTTCTCTTCTAAGGATCTTCACCTTCTAAGGTTATGAAAACCCTAGGAAAGTTTTGCTTGTGCAACACTTTTTCAGTAGTGGTATAATTTAATTGTACATCTGAAAGAATTTTGGTTGCATAGTAAATAACATGAGGAAGTTTATTTACTAGTTATCCCAAGACAACACCCATAGCATAATCAGATGCGTCACATATGATCTCAAATGGAAAAGCCCAGTTTGGAGGATTCATGATAGGAGCTGAAGAAAGAAGAGAGCGAAGCTTATGGAAAGCTTCTAGGCATGATTCATCAAAGACGAAAAGAACGTCATGTGCAAGTAAATTACACAGAGGATGAGAAATTTTACTAAAATCTTTAATGAAGCATCGATAGAACCCTGCGTACAAGAAATAATCGCACTCCCCTTATAGAGGTAGGTTGAGACAATTTGGAGATCAAATCTACTTTAGCTCGATCAACTTCAATACCTCTCTCTGAAATGATATGTCCTAAAACAATACCCTCTTGAATCATAAAATGGCTCTTCTTTCAACTAAGAATAAGATTTGTTTCCCTACAACGCTGAAGTACAAGGGCCGGAGACAATTTTCAAAAATGGATCTGAAAATAGAAAAGTCATCCATAAAGACCTCAAGAAACTTTTGAACCATATCCGAAAAGATAGACATCATACACCTCTGGAATGTTATAGGTGCATTGCATAAACCAAAAGGCATCCGTTTATATGCGAATGTACTGAATGGACAAGTGAAAGTAGTTTTCTCTTAATCCTTAGGATTAATGGCCACCTGATTATAGCCGAAATATCCATCTAAGAAGCAATAATAGCTCTGGCTAGCCAACCGCTCTAGGATCTGATCAATGAATGGTAATGGAAAATGATCCTTTCTAGTAGCGGAGTTGAGTTTCTGGTAATCAATACACACACAACATCTAATGGTGGTGCGCTGTGGAACTAATTTTCCCTCAGAATTCTCAACTACTATAATACCTGACTTTTTAAGTACTACCTGAGTATGAATCAACCACTTACTATCTGAGATGGGGTACATTATTCCCGTATCTATTAACTTCATAACTTCCTTTATAACCACCTCTTTTATATTGGGATTCAATCTTCTTTGGAGTTCCCGAGATGTTCGGGAATCTTCCTCTAAATGAATATGATGCATGAAAATTGTGGGACTAATTCCTTTCAAATCAGCCACACTCCACCCAATAACCTCTTTATTTTGCTCAAGAACTTTTAAGAGACTACTTTCTTGGGAACTTGAAAGATTGGAAGCAATGATCACCAGGAGGGTGTCATTTAAACCCAAAAAAACATAGTTGAGCTTGTCCAGAAGTGGCTTAAGCTCAAGCTTAGGTGGAGACTCTAATGAAGGAATAGGCGGAGTACTAGAAAGTGGAAGAAGAGGCTTAAGTCTAGATTTTCATGGAAGCAAATCTGTGATAGGAGTGGAGTTGAGCAATGAATTCACTTCCGTAATTGAAGATTCGATATTGAAGTCTTCATAATTAAAGTGATTCAGACAGGCTTCTAACTAAAGGATCCTTGGATAAAATAGTTTAGAATGATTCCATAACCAACTCATCAATAGCATCAAGGAAGAAGCATTCACTATCATTGTGGGGATGATGAATAGCATTGAAGATGTTTAACTTGACTTTCATATTCCCAAAAGATAAATCCATGGCTCCAGTCCTACAGTTAATGCAAGCATTTGCTGTGGCAAGGAAAAGACGCCCAAGAATAACTGGAATATACTTTTTGGAATCAACGATCGGTTCTATATCAACAACTAAGAAATCGACTGAAAAATAAAACTTGTCCACTTTTATGAGTGCATCTTTAACAATACCTCGCGGTTATCTAACAGAACGGTCAACAAGCTGTAGAACAATTGATGTAGGTTTTAATTCTCCCAAGCCTAACTTTTCATACACCGAGTAAGGAATAAGATTCACACTTACTCCTAAATCAAGAAGTGCACACTCTATTACATTATTTCCAATGATGCAAAAAATTATAGGAGCACCAGGATCTTTAACCTTCAGAGGAGTGTTGTACTTAAGAATAGCACTGACTTGCTCAGTGAGACAAATTTTCTTAGGAACTTGGCTTTTGAATTTTCTCTTAAGCGTGCAAAAGTCCTTCAGAAATTTGGAGTATGTAGGAATTTTCTTAATAGCATCAAAAAGAGGAAGATTGATTTTGACCTGGTTAAAGACCTCCATTATATCTTGAATTTTCTCTACTTGCTTACCAAAGTAGGAGGGTTCCTTGAGACGTTTAGGATAAGGCGCTCTTGGCTCATAAGCTGTCTCAAGGTTAGGAACAGATGAAGAAATGAGTCCACCTTAAACTCCTTTTGTAGTTTGTGGAATGGATTTTGAGGGAACATTTGTGGGATGTGGATTATGAATAATAGGATTAATAGGAACCCTAAGCCTTTCTTTTTCTTCCTATCCTTTTTCAACTTGATTATCAACCACTTTACCACTTCTCAATGTAGTGATAGCCTGAACTTGCTCACGATGAATACCTGAGGAATTGGTTTTATCAATCATGTAAGTCTGCCCTTTCGGGTTAGCTACTGGCTGACTAGGCAGCTTTCTATCCTATCTTCGAGATAGAGTACTCGCTATTTGCCCAACTTGTGCCTCTACCTTTGCGATGGCTTGTGAATGTGAATTAAAAAGTTACGTATTGGCTTTAAGATCAACAAGAGCATTAAGTATTTGATCCTCAAAAGCAGAATTTCTAAGAGGAGGTGGAAGATTAGGAGCTTAAGTGGGTTGATTCCTATATTGAGGTGGATGATATATTGAAGATTGATTGAAAGAATTATTTTGTGGCGGAGGGTTAGATGAATTTTGGTACTGTCCCAGTGATTGTGGAACAGTGGCTCCATGACTTTGATTACTCCATGATAAATTTGGATGATCTTTCCAGCCAAGATTATAGGTAGAAACATAAGGATTATAGGCTGGTCTGGAGAATGTAACATTTACTTGCTCCTAAGGAATCTTAGATGATTGTCCCATCATAGGGCAAGTATCAACAAAATGGGAAGAATTAGCACAGATTGAACAAACTTCCTTTAGCAAGGAAGTTTGTAGATTAGCAACAGGAACATAGCCAGATGATAAGACTTGATTAAACCTATGATTCAACGCATCTATTTGAGCGGCTAACTCACTAGATTTTTCTACCTCAAAATTTTTTTCAACCTTATGAATTCCAAGTGTAGACCTAGACCTAAAGGAAGAAGCATGTTGCACTGAATTTTCACTTAGGGCCTCAAACAGTTCCCAAGCGTCAGCCGAACTTTTAAGAAGAAAAGCTCCATTACTAGATGCATCAACCATGTTCCTATTAGAATCTGAAAGACCATCATAGAAAATCTGTACTAAGTGCCATTTAGCAATATCATGGTGTGGACACTTTCTCATGAGATCATTATACCTCTCCCATGAATCATAAAACTATTCACCATGGATTTGGGAGAATGCCATAATATCTCTTCTCATTTGTGAGATTTTACCCACTGTGTAGTACTTTTTCAAGAACTCCTGTTATAACATGTCCCATGTAGATATGGAATTAAATGGAAGAGACTGCAACAAAGTTCTTGCTATCTTTAAGAGAGAATTAGAAAAGTGGCATCCTGAATGAATCACTGGTAAGAGTGGTCAACTTGGTAATTAAACACAATTCCAAAAATACATCTAAATGTGTATAAGGATCCTCTATAGCAAATGCATGGAAAGTAGGAAGCATTTTGATGAGCGCTAAAAAGTGCGTATTTAAACCCCTTAAGCTTAGGCATTCTAATACATTTATCTATCTTACTTTACCGTTTCAGATTGATTTCGTATTATTTCCATTTTCAGGCACTTATCCCGAAAATAAGCTAACTCAGCCAAATAAGAGCTTAATTGAAACAATTCTGGGATTAAACAAAGAAATGAGCAAAGTGGAAAAAGAAAGAAGCAAATGAATCCAAAGGTGGGAAGCAGCAAAGTTAGATCGATCCCACTTCAAGGTTCGATCGATCAAACACTGATCGATCTCAGTACTTCAAGATAGATCCAAACCTTAACCCAAAGTAGAAAGTCCAAAGTTCGATCGATCCAACACCACCCTTCGATTGATCGAACACTTTTGTCCCTATTCAAATGATTGATCTTATCCACAGTTGTACCACCCACTAACCATTTTTGTCCTTTTCCCAAAAATACTCCCAAAATATCTCGGATTTGTCTTTTCCCAAAAAGCTCAACCAGCTGGATCAATCCAACCTAAATTCGATGGATCTCAGCCATGTTCGATCGGTCCAAGTCCAAAGTTCGATTGATCGAACTTCCTCCAGTATGAAAAAGTTAAATTTCCAGCTCATTGAAAGTTATCATTTATCCAATCATTAGGGAATCTTGGGTGCACGACCCCAGATCATTTTGGGTGTGATTTAACCTACCTATATAAGGATAAGGATTGTTTTTTACAAGGGGGGCCAATATCATATCATATCATCTCTTGGAGAGCAAGCTTAGAGGAGGAGGAGGCTAGAGACACTATTGGAGACTCTTCATCAACCAAGGAGCAAATCTCTACCATGGAGTTAGCCCTTGAGGGTTGGAGAAGCACTACCATGAGTGGTTAGACATCCTCTTGGGGCTAGAGTTAGCCCCAAGCATGCTTTCTACATCCTGATTTTGTGTATTATTGAGTGATTAATGTTGTAATACATGTTTTGGCACTTTTATATATATAGATCTTGTTTATTCAAAGATTTATGTGGTTTAATGCTTCCAATTGATCATTTCATTCTATCCGTATGTCTATGTATGCTAGAACAGATGTTCATATGTTTGTCTCTATTTCTTGTGTTATTGATGCATGTCTATGTGTATTAATGCTATAAATCTAGAGATTGTCAAAACATTATGCTTAAAAGAATGCTCTTGTGATCTTCTAGATGGTCCATGCTAATTTCTTGATGGATTGTGCCTCTCCCTTAACTTAATTAGTTTAATTTCATGTCATTAGCTTAATTGTAGTGTAGTGGTAGCATAGTTGTTAGATGGGAGGACAACCCATGCTTGTTGTTTGATGTTCCATACTTTTGAATGCAAGTAGCATATGTCTCTCACCTTGTGGTGTATTTGGCTTGTGAGCTTAATGAAAGGATTAATGACTTGTTAGATATGTTGTGTTTTTCACATACTATTTAGACAATATATACTTAATTACTAGATATATTGTGCTTTTCACATGTTGATTAGACAATGTATGCTTAATTGGTCACACTTGCTAATTGAATCAACCAAACACACACACACATCAATATTGCTACACAGATTACCCTCATTAGTCACTTGTTAAGGGTATAGAAAAGCATTGCTTGGTGGTGACCTCTAAACCCCAAGATCTCTCTCTCTCTTACGTACTCTTTATTGCATTCAATTATTTAGTTTAATTTGCTCTCTAGCTTAATCAACCAACCAACCATTTGTTTGATCACTCGACCTACTAACCCTAATTGTGATTCCATAACCAAGTACGACTCGAATCCCTTGGGACGATCCCTACTCACCCTAACTATATTTTTAGTGAAGGTAGTAGTGGCTTTTATAAATGTAAAACTTAGCCCTCGCCTTAATGCACACTCTCAACTTGATGGTGTAGGACGACGAGAACACCAGTAGTTTTTGGTGCCGTTGCCGGGGATCTAGGCAACATCGTATTTGTGGAATTCATTAGGAATTAGTACTCTTTTAATCGTGTCTTTACTTTATTTTTATTTTTCTTTAGATTACTTATTGTGTTTGTTCATCTTTGACAATGAGCATTGAGATAGGATCCAAGCAAAGGAGCATCCAAGCAAAGAAGCTAAGTAAGCAAGGAAAAATGCTAAAAATTTATAAAAAATTGCTAACCTAAGCTATAAATTTGGAGTTGAAGTGCTATAGGACCTTTGTGAGCTTTTTCTTACTCAATCCCTTAGTTAAATCGTCGGCCCGCGTGGAGGCTTGTTTTTAATTTCTTAGATAAATCGTGAGCCCGCATGGAGGCAATCTTTAATTGTTCTTTGCATCATTATTGTTTGAGCATGGGAGTATGGGAGCATTGTATGTAGAGGAAGTTTGTTGATTGTTGATTTGTTGCGAAGGAGGAGTGCTTGTTTATTTTGTTGTGATTTGTGTGTCGCTTGTAGTCAGGAATAGACCTTGTCATATCATACATTCTAGGCATTCACATGGAAAATCTAGAGGGTAATCTTGGCTACTTAGGCCCACGCTTCATGCAAAACCTACCTCTTAATCAACATGACCCCGGAGTTCAAGCTCCAATTCCTCCAATGGTCCTTCGTGATCATTATAATCTTCATGCATACCATGCACCCACTTGCATTGTGTTGCCTAATTTTGATGCTAATCAATATGAAATCAAGCCCGAGACCATTCAAATGTGTTCACTCTTTTATGGCTTGGATGAAGAGGAACCATACAGGCATCTTAATGAATTTCTTGAACTATGTTCCACCGTAAGGTACATGGATGTCCTGGAGGAAGTTCTTAAATTACTCCTCTTCCCTTTCACACTTAAAAATAAAGCAAAGCATTGGTTCAATACTTTAGGGGTAAATTCAATAACATCTTAGGCACAAATGCAAAATGAGTTTTTAAAAAAAATTTACCCCGTAAGTTTAACCAATGTAATGTGCGCTTCAATTAGAGAATTTTCTCAAAGGGAAGGAGAATTGTTGCATGAGGCTTGGGAGAGATTGAATGACTTGCTAAGAAAGTGTCCACATCATGGTATTCCAAAATGGCAAGTTGTCCAGTACTTCTATGGAAGCCTATCCGACATGCAAAAGGACATAGTTGATACCTCGTGTGGAGGTTCATATTTTGGAAAACATGAAGATGACATTTGGCACTTTTTTAAAAAAATGAGTGAAAACTCTTTGCACAAATATTACACCTCTCAGCTTGGTCATGGTTTTACTAAAAAGGAGAAAAGTGTAACAGTGTGTCAAATTGAAAGTTCAAGGGAAATTGTATGTAATAACCCGGATTTTCACGGATAACTTTTTTTCGTTGTCTTTTCCTTTTTGGGTTCGGCTTTTCATCACTTGATGTTGTCTCGAGTGCTCTGGAATGATTTCCGAGACACTTTTCCTTGGATTGACAACTTCCTTTGGGGATTGTGTCATTTTCATAATTTATTTTTTCGAACACTATTCACATTTTGTCTTTTTCTCGTTTATCCTTTTTCCTTTCACAACCTCACTTTTTGTGCTCAGATTTGATTCTGATTTTACATGCATTCATGATATTTGATTTCCCTGATAGTGGTATTTTTACTTTTCTAGAAAATCATGTTGATTGCTTACTTCCTTCATAAAGGGGCATTAATGCATACTTTAGTGTAATTATTCTTAACTTGTGGGGTTTTAGTGTAATTAAATAAAGTAATTATTTTTCATCTTGGGGACCATTTTGTAATTAAATTTGGAAGATATTTTCAAAAAGGACCTTTTTGCAATTTTTGAAAAGTGTGACAAGTGTCACACTCTCATTGGTCCACTTGTTGACATTTGTGTGGAAACACTTTGATGCATTGGATGATGACATTTGGAGGGTGAGGATTCACTCGCTTGTTGGCCTAGGATTGGTGCCTTTGTTGGCTTGGATGGTTGACAAGTGTAGGTGTGGGATTTAGCCTAGGAAGGAGTCATGGATTGGTGACAAGTGTAGGTTCACAATTTAGTCTTGCAAATATCTTTGGGTCACTTTGAGATTATGGTTTTAAAGGAGGGTTTTTGTGCAATTGACCATAAATGTGTGTGTTGACCATGGTGTAGAATCACATAGTGAGTGGAGGATTTCTATTTCCTCCACTCACACATTTTCACATTTCATCTCTTTCTTCCTCACCACAAAACCCTAGCCTCCATGGATGAAGCTTGAAGCTTTAGGCATTGACCTTGATCTTTGAGGCCCTTCCACTTACTTTAGACCATAAAGCTTGGAATACTTTTTGTTCCCCTCATCCTCTTCTTCAAAACCCATGAAGGATCTAGCCTAACTCCTAGTTTTGCTTTGGTATCTAGGGATTCAATTATCTAGTGAGGTATTGATCTATTATTTTTATGTCATTATTGAGTGTTTTACATGCATATAACATGAAAATATAATCAATTAGCTTCCATTTAGTTTTGTTTTCATGTAATTTGGATTTAAAATGAATTAGTTATGAATTTTTGAAGTTGCAAGCTAGTTGCTGGAAATTTAAATCTTTTCTTATTCGGTCCAGAAACGAATTTTTATACGGAGCTGTGGTGCTTTAATTACCTTGAAATTTTTACTGAAACTTTTCCCATGGATTTTACACTATTCAAAATTTTTTCACAATTTTAGAGCATTTCTAAATTTTTTTTAAAAATCTGAGACTATCTGCTGTCCATGTTTTTATTGTAGCTGGAAACCATATTTTTAGATGATTTATTTCACTAACCTTTTGACA